ATAGCTGTTAATCAGTGGAGCCTGAATTACCAGCCCCAGCAGTCTTGTTCCATGGTCCATGGTCATGTTTCTTAATCACTGTCTTAACCATTGTCTTCACTTCAGTGCTCACAGTCTGGTGGAGGGGAGGCATCAAGACAGGTAAACTATCTTAATTCAATGTGGTAGACATTTGATCCCACATTCCCAGTGTTTCTGTACCTTATATCCTAAGACAGAGGCACTTAGTGATCTCCTTTATTCCTCTGTATTAACTTTCAAGTTTCAAGAAAATACCTGATGATGTCATTTATACTAAAAAAATTAGCTATAAAAATTTAACACCGCTTCATGTGTTCTCTCGGAATATTTGTATTTTAATAGTTTCTACTTGATTTAAGCAAAATACAAATTTCTAACTTTGGAGTGTCAGGCATTCAGAGGACAGATGCAGGAAGGTTGTGGGAGGGTGTATGGAGATCTGCCCAGGTAATCTTAAAATCTAACCACATGGAGAAATATGGCTTCTCTATCCGTAAGTAAGTTGGATCCATGATACTCTTTATTGCTGAGTACTAGAGAATTAGTCATTCAAGTTTGGAATGAATCATCCTCAGGAATTTACTTAACTTTGTCTAAATTCTTGTATCCTTCTCTGCAAATGAGATCAGTATTTGTTCCATGGGGCGACAAAAATTAAATGAGAGCATGTAAGCACCCACCGTGGTACGTGGCATGGAGCACATGATGCCTGATAAATGTAAACCAAACAATCAAAAGGGTTTACATTTTCCACCTCTCATTCTCTCTCACATGACAAGGGAGTTTTTTTTTTCTTTAAATAAGTTTTATAATAGTTTGGCTTTTTTTTTTTTTAAGATTTTATTTATTTGATAGAGACAGTGACAGAGATAACAAGAGAGAGCATAAGCAGGTGGAGAGGCAAACGGAGAGGGAGAAGCAGGTTCCCTGTGGGGCAGGGAGCCCGACACAGGGCTCGATCCCAGGACCCTGGGATCATGACCTGAGCCGAAGGCAGACGCCTAACTGACTGAGCCACCCAGGCGCCCCTAGTTTGGCTTTTCATAAGATCTTAAGTCCACAGAGACTACTACACTCTAAAATAGCAATCAGAAGTTCAAAGAAAAGCGTACAGCCTCAGGCTGAGCCTCCTTCTCTGCAAATTTGCACAGGCTTAGGTTTTTAGAAGTCAAGAGTAAATCTATTCTGAGCTAAAGATAATAAAAATAATAGAAAATAAGTTATTTTTAGCCTAGAATTCTCTTAATTTATGCCATCTACATAATGATGTCTGCACAATCGCAGATGTTTAATACTGGGTCTGTAGAGCCTATCCAACTTCTCAGAAACCAGAGCAGACTATTCTTCATTTTCAAAAGAGGAAGTGGAGGGCAACAGGACTAAAATTTCCCCTGGAAATTTTCAGTTTGAAAACTGGATTTGAAATCAGATTTTTCATTTTGAATACACCATGACCAGGAAGTGTTCCCCAACAAAGAGACAGAACTTTGATCTGAGACACCGAGAGCCCGAAGATTTTGGATACGCCCGCCGCTGGCTTTTAAAGGCCACAAGGGTGGGCATCTGGGTGACTCAGTTGGTTAAGTGTCTGCCTTCGGCTCAGGTCGTGATCCTGGGGTCCCCAGGGTCCTGGGATCGAGTCCTACATTGGGTTCCTTGTTCAGTGGGGAGCCTGCTTGTCCCTCTGCTTGTGCTCTCTCTCTTTCTCTCTGACAAATAAATAAAATCTTTAAAAAAATAAATAAATAAAGGGCATGAGGGTTAAGTTGTTTCACTTCACAATTTCCATTTCATCCTCATTAAAGTCAGTGAAACAAACCTTGGTCTGCTGAAACTGATCTTCAACACAAAGTTCCCATACGCTTCTTACTTTTTGATGATCTAAAATTAAGGAAGGCAGAAGTGAGGATTTGGAAAGGTGCTGGGGTTCCAGACACATCAGACAAGGCCAGAGTAGTTAAATAATTGCCATCAATGAAGACTGCTGTGGGAGAAGGCTTACGGAATTCTTTACTCCTTCTGCATGAGAATAGGACCTTCAGTTAACTGTCCAGTTTTGTTCTTAGGACAACCTGGTAAAACTGATATGTGAATGAGGTTACTTGGGAACACTGCTTATAGTGAAAATGATCCCTGACCGGCAGCCTGAGTCTGCAATGGGAAGACACCAATACTCCACTAGGAAGCCATATCTTTGCAATTCCCCAAGTGTAAGACTCTTCTAGCTGCGGGGAGGTGTCCTTTGTGGGCCCCCAAAAGCTATGTCTGTGGGGTTGTTACAAGAAACCCTGGTTCCTCTGGTACACGAGGCTTGTAAGTCATGGTACCTGCCTGATGTGGATCTCGTCTCTGCACTTGAGCTGTCATCTGGGGTGGAGGATTCAGAAGCAAGGATTCCCAAAGGTGTGCCTTACATGTCCCAGCAGGCAAGTGGTGGTTCCTGTCCCACCGCACAAACTAGTGCCAACCAGTCCATGAGAGTCTCAGGAGTTTGGATGTTAAGTTAAACAAAGTAAGACCTACCCCACCCCCCTTCCCCAGCTGGTACTGTTAGTACAAAATAGACGGGATAATATGGGCCAGAGGAAAAGTAGTAAATTCCTGGGAACAAATTTTCCACTTAAAAATGACAGTAAAGGGCACCTGGATGGCTCAGTAGGTTAAGTGTCTGCCTTTGGCTCAGGTCATGATCCCAGGGTCCTGGGATCGAGCCCCGCATCACGCTCCCTGCTCAGAAGGGAGCTCCTTCTCCCTCTCCCTTTGCTGCACTGTCTCTGTCAAATAAATAAAATCTTTAAAAAAAATTTTTTTTTAAAGATTTTATTTATTTATTTGACAGAGAGATAGCGAGAGCAGGAACACAAGCAGGGGGAGTGGGAGAGG